TTCTGCAGTTGCTAGAAAGAGGTAGGCTTTGAAGTGTCAGCAGATGGCCTAGCAATCTACGTTGCATCCGGCTGTAATCCTTTCAGCAGAGTACCTCCTCATCATGTTAATTGGCACTGGCTTTCTTCCATGGGGCTTGGGGGATTTTTTGCAGTTGGGGAAGCAAGCATCATCTATTCTAGTCTACTTTTACCACAGAAGAGAACCATGTCCTGCAGAGCCTAGCAGGAAAGGAGATCTGCAGCATTCTGCATTTCTACCTGTCAGTGCAGTTATACCCACAAGCATTTGAAATACTGACTAGTATTAATTATTTTTCTATAGTATTGTTTTATATAATAGTCTGACTTCAATGCCAGGGACTCATGCATCAGCTTTACCTTCATGCACCAAGCCACTGCTCATCCACTGTTTTAAGTACCCATCCGTATTCTCAGAGATCAGCGCAGGCCAAGTCCCAGCAGGTACCTACTGGTCACAAAGCTCTTCACAGAAAAAGAACCTTTCCATCACAGCACAGTTAGGCTGCCAGGATTATGAGCAGCCCTACACCTGGGGGAAGGGGAGCCTGCATCTGGCAGCCAGGCAGATGGAACGGAGGACAGGTTCCGTCAAGACATTCCCGTGTTAGAGAGTATCCATAAAGACTTCCTCAAGTTTCAAAGCTTTTTCTAAAGTAAAGAGCAAAGATCCTCAGCCTCTGTTCCTCACCTTCTCAGGCCAGCCTCATAGCTTTGGTACCTGCAGAACCAGGTCAGGCGAAGGTCTAGCAAGGCCTGGATCACAACCTACAGCAGAAATAGTACGACATTCAGACCTTCAGGTTCATGATCTACCATTTACATAGTAGGCTTCTGCACACAGTTGTACAGCTGCCTACAGGCAGACACTTCACACATTCCTATGGAGTTTGCAGGATTCTTCAAGACACACAGATTTATGGGTACATGAGATTAGATGTCTCTAGCAGCACACATTTGGTTTCCTACAGTGAAGGACAAGTAGGAACTAACCGCCCGTGTTGGAAATGCATGAGCCCTGTCAACTGTGCAGGCTGCGATCTGGTAGGGAAGCACCTTCACATTCTTTTGTTGTATTATGCAGTCCAAACACCTTTACCAGTTAGCCTGCCCAGAAACAGACACTAAATCTATCAAGAAGTTCAATTCATCCAAGTTGAAAATTCAGCTGAATTTTATAAACTGGAAGTCTGCATGTGGGATGCAAAATGAGTTGGGAAGTTTCCAGCTGATGTCATCCTCCCCCTCCTTCATTCTCTCAGGAGATTTTCCAAGACTCTGCATTTACAGAGCAGCTTGGATCCACATGAAGTAAAACCTCAGGACCTTGGTATTCAGTCTTCTGGATGGCAGCCTACCCCAACGGGGCAGTACACACCAGAGAAAGCTTCCAGGATTCAACCAATGAAGGCTAAAAAAGTGTCTAAGTTTCTGCAGGTGTTGGCTTATTGTCAAGTGAAGATTCTGCTGTCTCCTGCTGAGTTAAGTGCAGCTAGTCTATACCACGGCTTCTACAAACTGAATGCTAGTTTTCACTTACCCTGCCTTAGCAAGTGTACAGCTTAACCAGACAGCTTTGCTATCTAAGCAGTAGTCCATGAAGTAATTGGAAGAGGTGGTTCAGCTGGGTCTTCCCAGCACAGATAAGCTCATCTCTGGAAAGGGTTAGCCTGAAACCACCTGATGTTGCACGCACATTACTCTCATTCAACAAGGATTAGATGACAGTAAGAGACATTTAGAAACATTGCTGTTTTGAGTCAAGTGGTGCCCTTAACCCCAAATACTCCTGCCTAACTTGGGCACCTTGCAGCCAGGCCTGTACTACTCCCAGAGCCTCACTGCTTTGATTCTGAAATTCAGAGTGCTGTACTTTCTCCTTGTGTTTCAAGGCATTCCGTTGATTTTTGCCATCCATTTCGCAGACAGACATAAGCACAGGTATAGTCATGTTGAGGGGACAACAATTCCACATGACTGTAGCTGGTTTCTGCAACAGCCTTACCTCTACCTTCAGTACACGACAGTAAGCCATAGCCGAATTGCTGCTCACGACTGGAAAACTACAGTGGTTTAGATGTAACTATTCTCAAGAACACCATAAAAGCTTGCATTAACTTAGCTTTCACAGACGTATTCAGAGCACTACTTGTCTCACCCCAGCATGTTTTGAAAGCAGGTCACCTTTTGTTTATAGAGTTCTCTGTCACTGGCCTGCACAGGTCAGCTCTGCGGAGAAAGAGAAAGCACCTTTCTGTCCTCCAGTCCGTCTAGGTCACTGACAGCATAGTATTCTATTCAAAGATCTCACTAAGCATCTGTAAAGCGATATCTCACTCTGCACAAGACTATTATCCAATACCAGCTGTAGACAAATACCTAAACTTCTCTTCAGTTGGAGAGCAAGGGGCATTTTCTTCCCCTTTATACATGTTCAGTTTCATTCTCTACCAGGCATCCGCATCACACTTCTTTTACTACAGGTCATCTTTGTTTCCCCACACATATTTGAGGTAGACAGGAGATACTGCACGTCCCTCTCTGTTGCACTTGTCTTGGCGCAGACACTTTAAGGCAAGAGTGACTGAGTGACCGAAGTAGGGATCCAGACTGCAAAGAAGGGAGAGAGTTCTGGACATAGTAGGGGAAGGAGGATAAGAAGGCAGTCTTGCTCTACAAGTTTAAACAAATAAAAAACAAAACACCACCACACACCCACAGCTGAACTCCAAAACCTGTATTCATTCCCAGGAGGAAGTACCACATTTCCACATCGATCCACACACAAGACAGTGCTAAGCTGTTTGACAAGAACTGTGAGAATCAGCTCCTAGGGCTGGACCTACCCTCCTGGGAAAGGTTAAGTGGTTACGTGTACACCAGATCCTGACATCCTTCTCCAGTAATGGAAAGCAGAGTACAACACGCGTGGGTGTACTCACAAGGAACAAGATTACACCCTCGGAAGAGGTCAGTGTTTTCCACTACATTAATCATCCAGAATCAGACTGCAAAGCTTAGGCTACTTTAAAAGCAATATAGCCTAAGCTCAAATCAGAAGCAATTCATCTTGCTCTTTCCTGGAAATGTGTCAGCAGAGGGGGGACAGTGATGGGTGTTGAGGACACAAGCCCAGATTTTTACCTGCTAGCCCTGGAGGGTATTACGCAGCAAGCCTGCAGACCCTGCAGTGTTGGGTAGAAAACCCCTACTCTAATGGGGCATGCATACTGCACCTGGGCCAAGCCTTATCTCTACAGTTCCACTGGTATTCTGCCCATCTAATCAGAAAAACACTAGATAAAGACTAGATCAGTTTGCTCTCAGGATATTTTAAACAGGTGACAAGAGTACAGCATGCTGCCAAGCCATGAGTCTGATGACTTTGTTCCAGAGTTCATCACTTAAACTAGTGCTTCTGCTCTGAAGGTCAGAGCTGCATGGAGACAGACTCCTCGGCATCCCTGAAAAAATAAGAATTTCAGATGCTGCAGCTGATCGTAACTGCATGCAGTTTGGTAACATTCAAGACATAAAAGCATTCTTGCTTATAAAGGTGCCATACTTGGAATAGTGCTTCTTTGCACTCTGACTGGACAGAGAAACACTGGAACAAGCTTCACAGAGACACTACATGACTGACACAAGCACCTCCCAAGCCTTCTCATGCAGGTCATGGGATTCCCACTTCTTTCCCGAGGCTAACAGCCAAGTTTTATAGGATGTATTATTTACTTTGTGGTTTGTTTTCCCATAAGTCACAGTTATACTAACCAGAGCAAGAATGTGGACACAGAAGCGTTTCCTGCAAAAGAGCATTTTCAGCAAAGAGCAATAACGCCATCTCCCACCTCTGTTGCTGCAGTCTTCAGGGACTCACAGAATGGTAGGGGTTGGAAGGGACCTCTGTGGGTCATCTAGTCCACCCCTCCTGCCGAAGCAGGGTCACCTACAGCAGACTGCACAGGACCTTGTCCAGGCAGGTCTTGAATTTCTCCAGAGAAGGAGACTCCACAACCTCCCTGGGCAGCCTGTTCCAGAGCTCCGTCACCCTCAGAGGG